ATAATAGTATTACTTAACTAGTGCGATTTACTATACTAGAAAAGATAATAGATAGAGACGCTAAGGTAGCTTAAGAAGTAGTAACTATATACTATATTAAGTTATATACAACTATTTCTATTTCTGCTATTTACTACTAGAGCCTTTCTAAGAATAATCTATTAGGCCTAGGCGCGTTTATTATTATAGACTTTATTGTAGGCATGTCTCTCTATAATATACTAATAGACAAAACTAATTCTAACTTAAAGATACTAAAATTTAACTTCTCTAACAAAAAACTACGTATTCTCTATAAGTCTACTATTTCTCTTCTTAAGCGTTTCTAGACCTAAAAGCCCCTATTCTAATACTTTACCTGCTAGCTTTCCTTTTGTATTAAGAGCGCGCTGCCTATTCTTCTCTGCTTACTTACTACCTTGTTCTTATTATTTACGTTTACTAACACTACAACTATAATAACTAGCAATAGCCTTCTTTTTACTTATTCTTTATTATTCTTAAGTTTTAACTCTATTGCTTTGTTATACGCACCTCTGCTATTAAGATGCTAGGTTCGCATTCTTAATAACATGGCGCGTGTAAGGCCCTGCGATAAAAGAGAGTAGAAGCTAGCCTCTTAAGCTAGCCGTCTGCTTACTAATAATCTAGAGTCTACTCTATAGTTGTCTAACTACTTACATATATAACTAAGCATGCTAGATAGATATAGAAGAATATAGAGCTTTTCTTAGAGTAGCTTAATAGTGTCTAAGTTCTGTTTTTAGTGCCTAGCGTGCATTATACTATGTATTATCGAAGTTAAAGTAGGCGGTTAACTTAGTAGCTATCGTATAGAATATTAGACTCTATAGAGCCTAGTAGTTTCTAGTAGCGCCGCTATTACAATTTAGCGTTCTAGAAAAAGTCGTACGTGTTTATATTAAACGAGATTAGAAATATAGATATAGATACTAATAGTATTAAAGATAGATTATTCGTGCGAACTAAGAAGAGAGGTTTATTTAGCACCGCGATTACTTTTTAAATAGAATAGAAGCCTATATGCTTACTACTTTCTCTTCTTAAACCTTATAGGTGCTACGTCTAGCTAGGCTACATATCTAGGTAACGTCTATGTCGGCGTATAGACTTCTTTACGCCTAATTCTAGCTCTTAGCTTATACGTGTTTGCACCTTATTACTCTATAGGTAAGCTATATATATAGTATAGAGATTAAGGCGAAAGCGGTAAAGTGTTTAATTTAGAATAGTAGATCTATTAACACGCTATTCTATAAGCTATAGCTAGTGCTAAACTGCCTAGATATAACTCTATACTAAGTTTATAGTTTAGCTATAGCACTAATTCTAAAAGAGCTCTAAGAGAAGAAGAAAAACGTAAAACGGTCTATATTATAGTATTATACATTAAGGTTAATAACTAGCTCTATAGAGCTAACGTTCTAGTTCTCTTAGATCTTTTTAGATAATTTGCTAACAAAGATTAATAAAGACTTTATTAACGTTAGCTCTACTTTAAGCGCTAGCTTCGTAATATAGAACTCTCTATTTCTAGAATACCTTAAAACTCTATTCTCTTAGCATAGCTTAGTTATGCTTAAGGTTAAATTTGTTTCTAACAAGTACTATAGGTACATAGTCTAGCGAAATTAGCTTCTCTAAAGTAGAGGAAGGGTAATCTTACTATCTTCTTTAATCTGCTAAATCTGTTCTCTTAGCCCTGCGAGTTTAGAGAATAACAATATAAAGTAGTCTAATGTTTACCTATAGCTTATCTAGTGTAGTAGCGCGGCTATACAGAACGATATTACTATATAGGTTACTCTATCGCTTAGAAGGTACGCGCTCTTAGAGTTTCTAATACAGGTTTAACGTTTTAAGACTTGCGGGGTTAGAATAACTATTAAAGTCGAAGATTTAGTCTCTATAGCTAGAGAGCGTATACAGGCCTTTCGCGTTCTAAATATCTAAGCCTGCAAGAGGCGACGGGCGTGTAAACGTTTATAGTAGTAGTAGAGATAGCGAAGATAGTAGCAAAGGTAGTAGAGACGGTAGTAGTAGAGAGAGCGGTTAGAAATATAGAGAAATTACTAATAGGCGTAGAGCGATTATAGTATTTAGCTTAACTTAACTAGCCTACATATAACTAGTTATTAAGAATTCTCTAACAAAGAAGTTAAAAGAATTCTTCTCTAGTTTTCTCTCTCTAGCTACTAGTGTTCTAGTAGACTAAGGTTAATATTAGGTAGTAAAGAGAAAGAAGGCACAACGAGACTTACATTAATAGAACAATACTTCTTAGTTAGCAACCTAAACTTACGTCTGTGAAAATCTATAAATTCGACGAGTAACTTAATAGTAGCGGTAGCGCTAGTAATTTTAGATTTCTAGTTACTAGTAAATACTTAACTTAAAATTCTATTCTTAAGTACTTACTTCTAAAGATAATTAAGGTAGTAGATTCTTAGTTTCTAGATTGTACGTAAAGCTAGCTATAGTATCTATTATAGATTTAGGTTGTTCTATAATAAGTCTACCTTAATTCTAGTGCTAGGTTATAGTTTTAATAACAGGTTCTACGATAGAAAAGATAATCGAATAGAATTATAAGAACAAGGCATAGCCTATATTATATGTTAAGTAGGCTAACTTATGTTCTAGGTTATTCGTCTATTTAAACTAAGACGCTAGAGAGGTTAAACTTAAAGTTTAGGCGTTACGAGACTTTAGGTTAGCTCTAGAACTTAACGAAGAGAGCGTAGCTTGCATCTTTAGCTATAGGTGCAAAGGTAACAAAGAAGTAGACGCTTGTATATACTACTCTACTTACGCTTTTTCTAGAATATAGTAGCTTAGACTCGACTATATAAGTAAAATAATTAAATATTTATAAGCGCTAAGCTTATTATACTTATAACGTAATACTAAGTTCTTTACACTTCTTACTTAGCTAACTAGAATTTAGAGGCTAGCGAAGAAGTAATTTCTTTAAATTTAAGAAAATATAATAGTAAATTAATAAGTATACTTTGTTATTGTATCTTATGTTGCTATATTTTAACTAGATAGCTGCTATTACCTTTAATAGACGTACTATAATTTGTAGCGTGTAATAGTTACTTACGTCTTTATAAAAAGATCTTTAACTACTAGGTCTTCTAGAGGTAAGTCTTTCTCTAAACTCTGCTTTACCTATAGCTCTGTATATTTACCTTCTTTTCCTAATAGCTCTATATAGCTGCCTTGCTTAATAATCTCGCCCTTCTCTAAAACGTAAATAATATCTACATTTCGAATAGTAGATAGATAATGCGTAATTATAATCGCTATTTTGCTATTAGTAGCTATTTGCAGATTGTTTTAGAGTCTAGCCTTAGTCGCTAAGTTAAGAGCTGCGGTTGCTTTATCTAGTATTATAATTAGAGAATTCTTTAGAATAACACGCGTAATAGTAATGCGTTGTACTTCTTCGCTAGAAAGCTTAAGACTATTCTTACTAATAACTGTCTTGTAGCCGTCCTCTTTTAACATAATTTTATTATAAATAGCAGTAGCCTTGCATGTATTTTAAACGTCTTCGTCTGTTGCGTCGTCTCTAGCGCACTTAACATTATTAAAGATTATACGATTTAACAAGTAAGGCTTTTAGAAAATAATTCTAAGGTGTTTTACTAGACTAGACTTCTTAACGAAGCGTATATCTTAATTATTAATCGTAATTAAGCCTCTAGTTACATCGTAGTATCGACATAACAATTTTACAATTGTAGACTTTCTACTACTACTTTCTCTAACAAAGGCGATTATTTATCTAGCCTCTGCATAAAAGCTTACGCCCTTTAGAATTGTAGTTTTTCTGTTATAGCTAAAGGTAACGTTCTTAAACTCGACTTTGCATTTAAGAGGTAATAGTTAGTTAGGATTAACAACAGTAGATTTAGTCTAACGTATGTGTAGAGTCTACTTAGCAGCAACGAATTTGCTGCTAAGTGCCTTATACGACGTTATAACAGTCTTAAGTAGACCTGTCGTCGAATTCTAGTAGGTGTTAAAGGCAACTAAGTCTCTAGTAGTCTAGACCCCGCAATTTAGCTTATACCTAATAATACACATCGAGATGCAATGTCCTTCTGTCTCTAATAACCTATAGTGTATAAATAGCAGTAACGAAAATACCAGTACATCTTTGCTGTAGTAGAGGCCGCCCAAGCCCTATAGAACTGTTCGCGCTCGAATACGACGTTGTTAAACTCAATAACGGTTGTTCAGGACGAAAATGCTTCCGTTGCGACGTTACTCGCCTCTCTAGAATTTTCCGTCTTTTCGCGGTATTTTTCGTTAACCTATGGCAGCAAGAACACTATTAGCCACGTGTAGATTAGTCCCGTAGCGATGAAGGTGAAGACTAGGTATTAGTTAGAAAAGTATCTAAGATAGCACACAGCGGAGACTAATCTAATCGCAGCAAAGAAAAGGTTATAGGTTCCCTTGATTATATCGTTCAGTGAATTGCCCTGTTTCACTGCTTTAAGTGTTTCGCCGGAAGATTTCTGCTCGTGGAATTGCAGGTTAAGGTTTATAATATGATTGTACATTACATCCGCCAGGCGCTTTAAGGCAGCAACTTCGATATAGATGCTCGCCATGGCACTGAAAGAAGCTAGAGGTAGAAGGTCTAGGCAATGTTGGGCTATGAGGTACTATAGCAATGCTGTCGAGGAATAGTTGTCCACCAGGTAGGTGTATATTCGAGGTCGCAGCATGTCCTTCACCCAGAAGGTAATGGTGACAACGAGCTTGGTGGCTATGCTTGAAAGGGTTCTCTAGTCATTCTAGCAAAATAAGTACGGCCAGAAGACGGCAAAGCCTTTTAGGTATTCAAACCCGTCCCTGGCTTCCTCAACACGATATCGTTGTTGCGTCCCGATCTCAACGTCGTCACAATCTCCGAGAAGTGGCTGAGTCTCTTCTCCTGTACAGTGTTTCCGGCTCATATACTACAGAATCGATAATGTGGCAGAGGTGGAAACTTTCAAGAAGCTGAGCATTGGACGGGTCGCTCCACCGTGATGGACGGCAAGATCTCGCACGCTTATCATGCAACGAATACCTTCGAACCCGGCGCCCATGACGAAAGCACCCAAGTAGGGATACCAAAGCGGTGACCTCGCCTTATGTAGATTGAGCTGAAGATGTGCCGTCACCATTATCGACGAGAAGAGATGAATCTCGTAATCCTGAGCCGGTGCGTCCTTGATTACGAGGACTCGGTAGAGGTAACGAAGAGTATCGACTACATGGAGTAGCGTGAGGAGGATAAGGCCGGCAGAGACTCGACACTTCGTGACATCAAAGAGCATCGGTCTTCGGAGGGTGGCGATTTGGCTCACAAGGAAGTAGAGACCAATGGAAGGAGCCTGTGTGTAATCGAGAAGCCACATCACCGCGGAGGATGTTTTTTTCGTCGCGAGATCGCGTTGTCGTGGAATTTCGAAAAGATATCAACTTGATGAGGATCATAAAGATTGCAAGAGCTCAGTGCGAAGAGCCGGAGCGGAAGCAAGATGTAGCGGTATGAGGGGTTGAAGTGCGGCATGCATGAGACTATTATGCACGGTCGCCGGCACTGCCACTGGTCTGAACTTCCTGACTAGGGTACCGTCTGCGGTTTCCGTGATGCGGCTTCTGTACAGATCACACCGAGCAGCTCATCTATGTCGATAACGGCTAGCTTCTGAGTAATGGAAGTGGACTTCAAATAGAGCCATACAACGGGACCCAATTCTACAACACTCCATATCCTCCCATCAAAATGTGCGACTACACACAAGTACACTACAAGTGTACACATCTTCGATACACCGTGCGAGCATGGTGCACAAAGTACCAGCAAACTCAAAAAAGATGCCAGCCTAACGTTGTTGCCGTGCAAGGAGAAAACCTCCAAGTTTCGTTCTGGTATTGGGCTAATATCGAGTAGGGAATATCGGCTTGATGAGAATTGCGGTTAGTCCAACCGCATCCTACACTGATCTTCTCTGACTAGGCCTTCACGAAGGTGACTGTAAGGCCGCAGGCAGAATGAAGTAATATTTGAAGGGTTACCCAAAGCCTTTTGAGTTCGCTTGGTGGGTAACTATACCAAACGTAAATCCTAAACCTTACTCGCTGCCAGCATTCCGCCATGCCCAAAATCTGATCACCATCCAATTACACCTTCAGCCGGCAATGTGTTATGGGACGCAGCGGTGGTGGCAGGGTTTGAAAGGATCGTAGAGGTAGTTAAAGCATTCAGAAACCAGCATCCCATCCTCGCTCGAATCAGGGGTTCACGAGGCTCCGTACGATGTATGACAGCAGACAGATAGCAGCATTTGTACACAGCAATTTGAATGAAAACTCCCAAGAGCTCAACGCAAGAAGAAAAAGCCCGAAAAGCCAGTAGATTGCATAACCATGGTTGCCCATTCTCCTGGCTTCTGCGGGCGCGTTCGCATATACCACTGTGAGCACCATTGATGTGCAGAAGAGGAGATCGGAATGGTCGGTAGGGTCCACGAGTGTTGGGCATGCATAGGTAAGCAATGGGCGATGATCACGAATGCTATATCTGACTTACGAGGAATTCGGACCCCTATATTCCAAACTCTAGAGCCAACGGCAAGCGCTACGATGACAGAAACTGCGCCCCATACAAAGCCAGCCAGGCGGGTAGTAGCAGCGCCAATAGCAGTAAGAATTGCGGGAGCAGCAATGTGACGTGGCAGAAGCATGTAGCCAGCGCAAATTACAAGAATAACGCCCCACAGACGTGAAGGACGATCCAAAAAGATTTGCTCTAGCTCAGGCATGAGAAATGCTCAAAAAGCAAGGAGATATAGAAGGCAAATAAGTGGGTTATACGAATGGGGGTGCGTGGAACTGAGATAGAACTGCGTGTCGAAAAGGCTAGCAAAGGGGTGGATGGAGGTGCGAAACGAGGAATCCAAGAAGTTCTTTATACCTAACGGCACAACTACCCGTGAGCTGCAAAGCCTCTCATTTCCGCCACGACCTGTGTCAGCTGCACCCGCTTCATCGTCCCCCGACTCCATCTCGCCCCGCCCTTATGATCCAATAAGGGACCGTATCAGAGAGTCTTGGGTGAGGCGGCTTGATTGGTGGCAACTCAATTAGCGCAACGCTTCTCGACGAGGAGCCTGCAGAACAACTTCATGATGAGACTCCAAGGAGTCCTACGCATTGAGGTTTCACGGTGTTGAATTGACTGTAGATTATCACTGCTGATCTGTCTGTCGCTTCCTGTCTCTCGCTCCCATTGTCGCCTCCGCTGTCCTTCCGCTGCGGCTTAGTCCACATGGCCCATGTTGTCGATGTGGATCTGCCGTACTAGTGCGAGGAGGTTGTCGTGGTAAACGGCTAAGTCGCGGGCCCACCGCTTCTTAACGGGATTGGGGTTGTTGAGTAGTTGGCGAAGGAGTTGGTGTAGTCGCCGTCGCTCCTTCCTAACGAAGGCTTGATCCTCTACGAGTTGTTAATGAGGCCCTGTAGAGACTGTGTCGTACATACTCTACCTGGTGAGCTGGCCTATAAGGATGTCACAGCGTACAAGCATTAAGCGCACGTTCTTAATGTAGTCGTAGTCCTCAGCGAGCGCCTTCTTGACTTTGAGCTGGACGGCGGTTAGGGTTTGCGCCCCTGGCGGAAGAGCCTAAGTCCTGATGTAGTTGGTGCTGTTGGTGGCCGGGCCCCTTAGGAGTTGAGTTGCCATCTTGAGTAAGTTGTTGAAGGTGATGAGATGGAGAAGAATGACAGAGCAGAGCCGTTTTATCGTTCGCCGGTCGACTACGTGTCTTTTCGAGTCGAAAGCGTTGGGCGTTCAAATTTCCCATTGCTGGATGTTGCCTACACTGAACCGTGGATCCTTTCTGTACTAAACCGCTGAACCTTTTGATGATACCCCTTCTGCCTGCGGATTTGGAAATATAGCGTCTTTTTTGCTAGTACTGTATATGTAGTATACTCGCATCTTCTTTATGACGAGGTCGAGCGAATCGATGACTGCGCTGTGCTGCGCGTCAATTAGCGCAATCCCTCGCCGAGGTCTTGATTGAGATGCCTGCCGCCGCCCTGCATATCCGGTGGGCACCCGGACATGGCAGGCAGACGCGGGCGGCGGCTTGCGAGATTTCATGTTTCGTTTCGAAAGGAGGGCAGGTTCAAGAGTGAACGCGTACGCGATTGACCTTTTCGAAGCTTCGTAGACAAGATGAAAGACAGGTCATCAACGGCCGGCTTCGGCCCAGTGGCGGCTCGAGCTTCTCAATCGCTTGCTCTCACTTGCTAGCTGGTACTGTTTCGGTGAGACACGGAGGCAAGGATCATAGAAAGCTCCAATACGGGCAACGAATGACTGATATCTCGCCACCTTGTTGGGAGGACATGCATGATCCAGGGCTGAGCAGGCGGGGGAGACGAGTCTGTGGCGAATGGACATGGTGGGCTCGACCACCGATGTCGCGAAGCGGGCGGTTCTGCTGATTCAAAATCGCTTGCAAAGCCCGTGGTTCCAGCGTCGAACAGGAAAATGTGGTTTCTGGCTAGGCAGGTGGACGCGAGTCAAGCCCCTAAGACTACTCGTAAAGTGCTAACTATGGGAGGCAGGACAAACCATGGACTCTGAAAGAGTCGAAAAGTCTTCTTATAAACCTTCATGTGAACCATATACGCCAGCCAGTCCAAGGTCGACGCAAAGAGGACTGCGAACGACACTGGAGGGAATTGTACTACTTTATTTTCAAGGGCAAGCGATGCATATATGATGCTATCGAGGCATACTACAAGTCTTCACCTTCAGTCCAGGGTTGGGAGAAGGCAGAAACAGAAAGTCTCTTCTTTGATCCAGACTTTGCTCAAAAATCAAAACGCTCTGAGGAGGATTGGACGATACACTACTACGATGTACTAGGGAGGAACTTCGGAAGATGGAACGCATCTATTATAGACGGTATTTCGGCGGTGGTTCAAGTATATTATGAGACGCAAGACAGTAAATTAGAGATGAAAAAGGTCAAACAAGAATAGAGCGGGAAAACTTGAATAACAATGAAAAGAGATGCCAATGACATAAACCCCGGCTCGTCGTGCTGTGATAATTTAGAAAGAGTGACGTTAATACAGGCGATCGGGAGCCCTGTCGTACAACGGGTTGAATAGATCCTCCACCTTCTCCATGGAAGAATGGCGCCCACTGCGCCGCCATCGTTTGAACAGGCCATGTACCTAGCCCTCCTGTGACCCGCATTCACTCCTTCATCCCCCCAGGAGTCCGTTCGTTCGAGTCCCGGATATAGTGGCTGAGGTGAATGTTAAACCGCCCAAGTACGAGACGTTGGGATCAACGTCTCTTATCGCACCGCTTGCCTCCTAACGAAGCACTTAAAGTTTGAACATGGCTCTGAATTTGAGCTTGTTAATACAAAGGGAATGTTGTGCAGCTGACGCTCATGTTGATCTTCTTCTGGTAGGTCGAATCATGATTTGCACTTTACGACCCTTGCTAAGCCAGGCGCCCATAAGATATGCAAGCCCACTCGTGAACGCGACTACTCCAGCAAACCCCCAAGAGCTCACGTAAAAAATAAGGGTCCAGACGCTCAGTAGAAACCAGGTACCCCATCCAAGAGTTGCCGGAAGCGTGGCATATGTAAATGCCATGAAAACGCTTGCGCCAACGACGCTAAGTGAGCGGACGGTAAGGTCGTCAAGAGTCAAGGCTAGATCCATAAGCATATATAGCGCCGTGGAGATCTTGGTCAACTCACGGTGAAGACCAAGTTGTACACCATACTTATGTTTTGCGACGAGGAGTACCGCTTCGACAGCAACAGCACCCCATAAGAGTCCGAAACGATTCGCAGTAATGCCACCAATAACTGCAGAAGAGCCTGCTAGTATTCCTCGCTTCTCCTGCCCACCGATTCGTTCGACGGCTGTTACTCCTCTTCTTTCTTTATGGACAGCCAATTGTCGGGTACGGGTACCGTTGGAACGCCGCTGGGGTGGACCTTGGCTGAAATCTGACGCGGTGGTGATTCAAGCTTCTGTAAAGGCATATCCTCTAGTTTGATAGTGTCGCCTGCATGTGTGCTCCCAGAAGTAGCCGACGGGTGTAATTGAAAAACTAGAGCATTCGCGCGCGCGCTCATCTCCCGTTCTCCAAGCTGCCAATGCATGGACTCGGCTGAACGCCATGGAATTCCCATTTCGGTCGCCACTTTCTGCCACATCTGGTCCTTGAAACTAATCTTATTAGTATATGGAACAGGTCAAATAGATATGATAATTACTGAAGAAGCTGTAACATGTTACAATCAAATAGGATTTTACGTACCGAGCGTAAAGTCTCGCGAGCTTGTCCTTTTTTTCTTCATCCCAGACGGCGCGCTTCTCCAGGTAGTTTTGGTAGCGTAGACGGCACGAAACAGAGCTTCTGCCTGGCAGGCATTTGGCGATGTCATCCCATTTCATGCCCTGGCCACGTAATTCGATAGTTAGATTGTCCTCCTCTGGTCCCCACTTAGACTGCTTTTTGGCTGGCGACTCCTCCGGTAGTGGTATTTGAGATGCGGCGCGTTTGAGCATTCGGGACGGCGGCGATCCGTTCGTGCCCGGCGGGCCTGGCTGAATTGTAGCGCTCACTGGAGTTCCAGAGAGAGGCCGAAACCGTAGGTGCCGATGAGGCTCTGCAATGGCTGGAAGAACTGGCCCGCCCTGCATGGACGCAGCGGAAGCCGATTGGTACGCCGAACAGGCATGGTTGGGTGAAGAAGTTCCATAGGCTGGCGTTGCTGCTATATTGGCGGGGGAAATGGTATCATACGCTGGAGAGGGTGTGTAAGTTGAAGCTGCTGTTGTGTAGGTTGCCGTGGCCCCCGTGGATACAGAAGCTACCGAGGCGGAGCTCTTCCTGCTTGCCGAGGAGTTGAACTGCTTCTTGGCTGGTGGCTCCTCCGGAAGTGGTGCTTGAGAGTTGATACCCACTAGCCGTTTAGGGTCACGGGTAGTCGGGGTTGTCAACTGAGGGACGGGGCCTGAATTCGGAGACTGGACTTCTGAGCCATGTATGAGCAGGTTAATATCCATGATTGGCTGCGTGATCGGCCGGATGTCAAGATGAAGCGCAATGACAACAACCAGCTTAGTTCTTTATCGGCAAGACCCCGCTCGCAACGTCTTGGGCGAATTTGTTCGCGCCTCCAAGCGGCGCGGAAATACGAGGCGCGGATCTCGGCTGAATATATTTCCGCAGCCTGGCCTTGGCGACCGCAGCTTCAGCGCCCGCGCATCCACTGCCATCGATTTCTCTGAGCCATCTTCCTCCCTTTCAAGGATGTCCCTCAACTACGACTCAGACGACGCTCTCCCACGATCTCCTGGCCTCACTCCCGTTCGACCAAAAGCAACCCCTTCACCCTCCCCACCCCCAGTTGTGACGCAGCAAGCCAGCACTTTATTCCATTCTTCAATCCACATCAAGGGACTGTCTTTATTGCGTAATTGAGCAAACCTATTTCTATAAAACATCACCATTATAAATCGCCTCTTCTAACCTCCCAAGCTTCCCCTCTTTGTCTCTCGTTCATTGGAAATAATCATTCTCTGGAGAATCATGAACCGCTTGCGTTGATACGGGCCAGAATTATCGTCAGCACCGTAGAGCTGCTCTTTGTCCTCCTTCAAGTCGTTACCTGCCTCGTCGCCGGCTTCGTCACCCCAACCCAGCTCTACAGCGATGATAACGCCGTTATCCTCTTCGAGCGCCTGCAACCGCGGCCGCTTGGTCGGGCTTGGGTTCCTCGACTGCGAGCGCGAAACTCTTTGAACATCTTTGGCGCTACATCCTTTCGCTCGCCGCCCTTCATCCGCACTAATAAGTTGTCGCCTGCTAGTCGCTACATGGAGAGAAACTCATAGTGCAGCGACAGCAACACCCACGCAACACATGCAAAAAGCACCGCATCGAACGACCGGTGCAGGTCCGCCCGCAGCAGCATCGCGCCGACTAAATCTCGCTCATGTTGGTGTCCCATCACTCCCTCTCGCCTACTAGGATTAGGTGCGCTTGCTTGCATAAGTCCATAACGCCCGACACACGGCACAACTAGTCGCGGCTCTTAAGGTCCTCATTATAGCCGCCGTTGCGGAGTGAGGGCGGTGGGGGATCGATAGGGAGGGTGGAGAAGGCGGACGGGAGGTCGGCGTCGGTCTCAGGGACGCTCCAGTGATCATACGAGACGTGGACGGGGTATTCGGCTGCAGAAAGTGACTTGTCAGCGGCGCGCGGCCATGGAACGCAAATGTTGGGAGTTCATGCGTCTTACCGACTGGCAAAGCGGCCGCGGTTGTATAACCATGGATGGGATACTCGACTGATATTCACGATCGCTCTAAGGTGTTGGTGCCCAACATATGAAAAGATTCTCACGCAGCTGCCTTCTCTTGGGGCTGCGGCCGTGCCCCGCCATCGAACATTTCTGGTGCCGCGTGCACGACAATGACCGCATTGTCAAGCAATCGAACGGGTATGGCGTCCGCTATGACGCGCATCTCAACTGTGCATCGAGTCCACATCCGACCTGACCTGTCTTGTGATTCCTCTGCTCTCCCCTATATATGTTGAATATGTTCGCTGGGCTGGGTGCGCCGGATACGGCTTCGTGGAAGGGCTTGAACGAGCTCTCAAGATGGTGCTATAACAAGTTCTTTCGCAGTCGAGGACCTCGGCGCGTTAACGAGTTTCCTATGAGGCATCTGCGACGCGTTAACCTTAACTAGTTCCCACGAAAGGGAGTTCCCTCCGCCTCGCTGCATCCCATCTCTGACTCACATCGGCCGGCTGCGTAAGGTCAGTTTCGCGCCTGGCTTGCGAGCCAGGCAGTCGTTTAGGTGATGTTCGTATCCCGGGATGGATGGTCGCATCGCACAAACGGAGACGGTAGGTGATGTGGTTGTCTCGAGCTGCCCGCGCGCAGCTAGGACGAAAGCCTTAGCAGTAGAGGCATGCGTGATGTTCTCGGCGTTGACGTGTAGGGTGCTAAAGATAGTGAGGCGCAGGAATAGGCCGTGAACGTAGTCGTTTTACGAAGCGTGCAGTGGTAGCCTGATGTTGTGGATGGTGTTGAGTTCGCAGCGAGGAGCCAGCGTTTGCGCCAAGCCGGGACTCTCCGCACAGTCCTCCTCAGCCAGTTACCTCGCCTCGTCCGTCGCGCAAACGCGCCCCTAGTCTGTTCCTATTGGCACTACAACACAAGCGACATGTACTGGCCAAGGAATGATAGCTGCAGAAGCCTTTGGAAGGTTGAGTAACCAAGCTGGCTTGGGAAGGTAGGCTATAATTCGTGAATAGACATGTCAGCATACTCGTAGCGAAGAATGTGGGAGTTAGTTGATATTCACCTCGACACGAGGGTCCACGGTTTCGTCCATCGCAGCGTAACAAGCGGGTTGAAAAGCTAGTGTCACTACCGCTCACTGTGACGGAAGTGTGGTTCCAATGCATTTATACCAACACTGTTATCTGCATTTCTCTATCCAGGGCATACAGGACTTCCTCTGCCGTTGCGTACTGCTTCGTCCAACAGCCCATGATCACGCTGCCCCCAACCAGCTTCGTCACGTCGGGGAACTCTCCCTGGCTGAAACACTTGGATACTTCCATCTCATAGGTGATCTTCTCATCGATCGTTTCCGGGGGACCAGGGGAAGATCTGTAAGGCCAATGTCCCATCAGAATGGTGTAAAAGAGAGATCCGAGGCCGAATATATCGAGCGCGGGAATAGATTGAACTCCGAGAGTAGGATCGTAGAAAGGACCGTCAGGAAGGCAGCCCCGTCTAGACCCATTTCATCACATGTTGCTCCCCCGAAGTCACAGAGCAGTAAATCGCGGGATCCTGGTTTCGTTTCGTGGACAAGAATATTCCTAGGACGTAGATCGAAGTGTATTACGCCGTGGCTGTGAATGTGCATAATAGCTTCGGTCAGCTGGCGGCACCATATCATGCGTTGGTGGAGGTCAATGAAAGAGTCGTTCTCATCGATATACGTCTGTAGATTGCCATGGCTTGCTTGGCTAAGCAGCAGGCCGCGATCCTGCTGCCCAAAATACCTTACAATGCTGGTTAGCATGCAATACCATTTCTACCTTGCTCATAGTCCACCTACTTCACGATCCTTGGATGATGTCCCAACTTCCGGAGTATAAGAGGCTCGACAGAAAAGCAACGATTTACCTTGTCGGCAAGGCCTTTGGTCTTAAAATCCAGCGGCTGTTTAAGAACGACTCCTGGTTTGATCCGTTCGATAGTGCTCGTTGAGCCGAAATCTTCCATGTTGTATTGGGCAGCAGCAGCGAGGGGGGTTGGGGGTTGGGGGAGGGGAAAAAAAGGTCTAGGTGAGGAGTGGAAGGAAGCGGCCTCAGGGGTCGACTCAACTTGTTCTATTGGAATAATATTGTTCCGCTCCCGGTGCACCCCAGCCGAGGCCGCGACAAAGCCGCCTAGTGCCAAGCAGGCATCCGTGCTACTATGCTAATTCTAGCACATCGCCGTCTATTATATTTCTCTTAATATAACTCTTACTCTATTACCTATATACTTCTTAAATATTCTTAAGTTATTTTAAATCTATTTAAGCTAAGAGTATAAGATATTTTAGACTTATATCTTTCTAATAGCTATAAGTAATTATAAGCTTTTAATTCTAATTACTCTAATAGCTAGTAATTAGTAATATCTATATAATAATATACTAATATAAGCTAATTATAACTTTAGAAGATAACTAGAAACTTAAAACTAGCTAGAGCTTAGCTAGATCTTATATAGCCTATTTCTATTTTTAAAGTAGATTTTTATTAAGAGCTAGACGTAGATAGATAAGCTAGTAAGTAGTACTAACGTTTTTCTAGACTAGTTTTCTAAACTATCGCTACTATATCTTTCTTACTAATATAAAAATAGCTTTATAAAAGTCTTATAAAGCTTAAATAGGTTAAGTCTATAAAGTATAATTTATAGTAGCTTAGCTAGAATACTTAGAATCTAGCTTTAGTAATCTAGTTATATTTTAATAGTAGAATTAGTTTCTATTTAAGTATATTTATATAGTTTAAATAATTTAGATTTACTAATTTATAACTATATATTAGTATCTAATAGTATAGTATATTTAAAACTCTTTTATATAACTAAGTTTTAATATACTTTATTATTAAACTATCTATAATTTCTTAGTAAGAAAAATTAATAAGAAATCTATAAGTTTTTTCTAAATAACTATATAAAAATATAATATTTTTCTATAAAAATTTATATATATATTTTTTATAGTATATTATATCTAATAGTAAAGTTATACTAAGATATATTATATAATTAAAAAGCTATAATAGAAGATATACTTTACTAAAAATATAGAAATAAAATTATACTATATAGTATAGTATCTACTATATTATATTAATTAGATTAAAGTAGTTATATTTTTTTCTTTAGCTAAAATTTATATACTTTATAACTATTAGCTCTACTTACTTTATTAATCTACTTTTTAAGTATAAGTAATATTACTTCTTTACTAAAAATTAATAACTATAGCTACCTTTTCTTTATCTATATAAAAAAATCTACTATACTAAATAACTAGTATAGATTCTATATAATAGAAATATAAATAATTCTCTAAAATAATATCTTTTTTTCTAGAGTTTTACTTAATATACTTTATAAGTAAGCTAGTTACTTTCTCTTAGTAATAAAAATTAATAAAAATTAACCTATTTTTCTTAAATAACTAAGCGAAACCTTAATATTTTTCTATAAAAATTTATATATATAATATACTTTACTATTAAACTAGTTACTCTATTAAATAACCTAAAAATACTAAGCTTTTACTAAAAAGCTACTATCTTATTTAGATTTCTCTAACTCTAAGCTACTTAAGATAAATCTAGATAAGCTATCTAACTTATCTATATTATCTTTAACTATCTAGTACGTTTACGTATTATACTCTAGCTTATTATAGTATCTATAGCGTTACTAAGCTAGCTAGCTATTACGTGCTACTACCTCTTTACGCTACTTCTTACTCTTATTCTAATTTATAGTCTTCTTTTAAGTAACTAGCTATAAGCTAGCTTTAATTATAAGAGTATTCTCTTTCTAAATCTACTTTCTTTTACGTAAATTATACTTCTTTTTCTATATATTAGCTACTTAAAGCTAGACGACTTTAGACTCTATAAGTACTAGCTAATACGCTATTAGCTTATTACCTTTCTTAAGCTAATTAAGTAACTTAATAATATAAGTTAGTAATAAATTAAGGTACTATATAATCTTTAATTAAATTAGAGTTAATTAAGATCTTACTTTAATAAGATTACTAGGTATTTTATACTTCTAGGTAGTAGTATTATTAGTAGAGAGTATTAGCGTGCGTAATTAAACTTTAAGCTTTAATACTACTAAATCTAGGTTAAATAGAACTAAGCTAGTACTTTTAAATTCTACTCTAATATTATTATCTATAATTAATACGTAAAAAGCTATGTAAAATGTAGGTAGAAACTTAGTTTTTATAACGTAGTTAATATAGCTATGTATTAGAATCTTAACTTAGTAGCTATATACTACCTTTAATAGTAAGAAGTAGCTAATATTAAGTAGCTATAGAAGGTATAATAAATATACTAGTATATAGAGAGCTATAATTTTATTCTTCTTATAGTACTACTAGAATTTAATAGAGCTATAGCTTTTATAGCTATCTAAAATTAGTAGATAATATATATCTATAATATAACTCTTAGTATATACGTTAAAGTACTTTAACTATATAATACTAACTTTATTTATTATCTAGCTACTTTTAGAGATAGCTATAACCTAGTTATATAGTAGCTAGCTACCTTTATACTACGCTAAGAGGTAGTTCTTATCTATAATAATAAGAAATAGTAGAACCTATATATTACCTACTACTCTTACTATTATAATTACTAAAATCTACTTATAATTATCTAGTTAAAGGCTCTTTAGTTATAATTATCTCTTAGAGCTAGTAACTACTACCTAAGGTAATATTATTTCTATTATAAAGCTAGATTTATTAAAATTATACGTATCTTTATTAGTAATACTATACTTCGCCTTTATATTACCTACTAGGTTAAACTATACCTAAATAATTATAGAATCTTTTTACTTTACTCTCTAATAGTTATACTTACGATTAAGCTATATTTTAAGCTTAGAATAGCGCGTAACAAAGTAGTTTAGCTAGTACTAGCTAACTACCTTTCTACTCTACTTAGTAAGTAGCTTATTAGCTATATTTTAAATAGTAGTAAGCTAAGAGGTAAATTCTTACGCGTCTAGATCTAGTATATACTTAACTATTACCTACTCTTTATTTATAGTAAGCTTTATTTAATTAGATATCTTTTTATATTATAAAGTAACTTTATTATATTATTACGGCACTAACCTATCTACGCAGCTACGTAACCTTAGCTATCTTAGCGCCTTAGCGTAGTAGATATCTTCTCTACGCCTTCGCGCCTTTATAGCTTAATATTATATAACTTATTATATACTTTAAATTCTTGTTTTTTATTCGCGCTGTAATAGTTTATATAATTCTACTATTAGCTCTACTACGTACTACGTAGCCTAGCTAAATTATAACTAAAAGAAACACGCTCTATAATTCTAGAAACTAAGGTACTATAAGTAACACCTAGAAGAAGAACTAGGTAGAAACTCTAGCTGTAAACCTCTCTAACTTTCTAATACTCTAGGCACTTACGCGAACTAGAGGCCTGTAGTAAAACTCTACGTAGCTACTAGTTATAATTAGTAAAGCTAATACTAACTAGAAAGCCTTAGTAATAAAGAATACTCTTAATAATATCTTTAGAAACTTTAAGAACAGCTTTAATTACTAGTTCTAGACTCTTTAAGCTAACTATAATACTATCGCTACTAAATATTCTACTCTCTAAGTATAGCTACGTGTAGTAGAGTAGCGTACGTATATTATAGAAGCTATAGCTACTACTTTTTAAGCTTCTCTACCTACTAATCTCTACAACTCTCGCTAACAGAATTATAATAACCTGCTAAAATTTAATAGTAAAAGCAACCTAAGTACTAGGTAATAGAAATATAAGAATTAGAAGATAGAAGTCTATTTAGCCTTAGCTATAGATAGCGCCTTCTTTAATATAGACCTATTCTATCTTCTATACGTTATAAACCTTCTTACTAGTAATACTATAGAACGCTACTACTATAATCTTAATATAATTCTAAATAATCTAGATAACTAGAATATATAGCTCTATACTATAGTCTTAGACCTATTTATAAATATAGACTAAGTCTACATTAGTACTAATAAGACGCTAGAGGCTAACACTAAATTTAATAACCTAGTTATAGGTATACGCCTCTTTTCTAACTTCTTATCTAACTTTAAGAAATAGTCTACTCGCGCTAAGAAGATAGCTGTAGAGAAGGTTACTACTCTTTACTATAAAGTATTTGTAAAGCTTAGTAGTATAGTTACTAACTAGATTAAGCTCTCTAGATCTACTAACTTTAACAAATAGGTTAAGTTACTAAACACTATATAGAAACGCCTTAAAGAAGAGAAGTATATTAGCAGTATCTATAAGAGACGCTTAAAGTAGACGTATATAAACGTAAGTACGCCGCTTCTAGTAACTACGTAGACTTAGCCTATCTTAGACCTAGACGCTATATAGTTAAACGCTATACGCCTGTTATAAGAAGAATATACGTAGAGAGGTCTCTATTTCTATTATAGAAAACTAGAATATAATAAGACTAATTATAAGAAAAAGCGTAAGAATAATATAAAGTAGAGTAGCTAGCTCTAGTTATTCTCTTAATTATATACATAATAGCTATAGAACCTATAACTATTTAATAACTATAAATACCTCTATAGTAAATATAATGCTAGGTCTAGCTAGAGTAGCTATAACGGCTAAGGTAGCTATAGCTAAAGCTAGAATACTAACCTATTCTTTAACTATTCTATAAGTAATAAGGGCGAGAGCTACATTAAAGGTAAGATCTCTTTAACTCTTACTAGCTTATTCTCTAGTACTATAAGTACGTCTACTAAATTAATTTTTCTATTTATAAGTGCTTCTAACTATAGTAGTATAAAAAACAACTAGCCTCTAACTATAGTTATAGCTAGAGGTCTAAGAAGAGTATATATAAATAATAACCTTACTAGATATAGATAGTTCTTAGTAAGAAGAGCTCTCTCTAGCTTAGATCTATAGATA